AATATTATTTATATTGTTTAAATAAATATATTATTTATAAACATTATTTAATATAAAAATAATATATTTATTATATAATTTAAAAAAAATATGCCAATGAAGCTTGATGAGCCGAGTTCAAACTCAGCTCATTCACTAAACGAGCTTAATATTCCAACTCAAACGCGGCTCGTCGAGTCAAGCTGAGTCATTAACGAGCCAAACTGAGTCGAGCATGTTCGTGAACAGCTCGGCTCATTTTCAGCCTTATGTCTAGCCCTATAATTGGAAGACAAATTTCTATTTGAGTTTTTTTTTTTTTGAGTATTTTCTAACGTACTTGAAAGGAGTGTGAATACTATTTTTTATTGGTGTATTTGAAAATAAAAGTAATTAAAATTTTTAAAATACCAATTAATTTTATATAGTTTTAAAAATACCAAATAACTTAATGTTTTCTTAAAAATAAGTTGCTTTAGTAAACTTTCACAAAATAATTTTAAGAATGATTTATCAAAGAAAAATATTATCATAAAAAAATTATTTTTTTATCTTTAAGAATAAAAAAAACCTAAAATAAGATCAATTTGATATGTTTGTATTTTTATTTTATATTTAATTTTTTGGAGTAAAAAATTATTTAACAACTGTTTTCAAAAAATATTTTGTAAAAAATATTTTTAAAAGGGAATTTTTAAGAGTACCTAAACCGTTCAATACTAGTTTGTGTTGATCCCACAGGATTCACTTTGACAATTTGATTAGTTGATTCTTTAGGTCTTGTATAAATCGTTAATAAATAAAATTAAATTATCCGAATTTGTGTTGATCCCACAGGATTCACTTTGACAATTTGATTTGTTGATTCTTTAGGTCTTGTATAAATCATTAATAAATAAAATTAAATAAATCTGATAATTATTATCTCAGGTTAGACAAAAATGAATAATTTATTTGCGAAATCATAATTTTTTTTAAATAAATATGATAAAATTATATAATTACGATTGTCAGATTCTTCAAATTGTTTCTGAATAATTTATATGGAGAGGTCTAAATGAACAACAAATTAGATTAGGTAAAAAAAAATAGTTAGGCCTCGTTTGATAATATAATCTTTACATAAATATGAGTAATGTTTGAGGGCCCGAAATTCGTGGGTCGAATTTGGCTCAAAACCCAAAACGACGTCGTTTTGGGTTTTGAGCCAAATTCGACCCACGAATTTCGGGCCCTCAAACATTACTCATATTTATATTTACTTTTTGCAAAAATGAAAACAAAAACCATCACACATTCATGCAGGCAATGGAAGGAAGTTGTCAATGGTGATTGTCAGTAAGAAATTGCGGCTGAATATGGTTTACCAGCTGTCGGCGGTAATAGCCAAAGGTGATGATCAAAAATAATTGTCGAAATGATGGTCGAATGTAGAGATAGTGGTTAAGCATCAAAGATGATGACAAAAGGTAGTTACTACTGGTAAAAGATTGTTGGTGGCGGTGAGAGATGGTTGTCAATCATAAGAAATGGTTGCACGGTTGCTGGAGGTAGTTATAATCAAAAGTGACCAATGACGACAATTGAAACTAAGCTCTCGTTTGGAAATGAGTTAATTTTATAATTTTTTAGTTATTTAATTAAAATATAAATTAAAAAAAATTGGTATGTTTAGGATAATTTTTTAACTTTCTATGAAAAGATATACAAAAAATAGAGAGAAAAGAAAAAATTTAACTTTTTGATATAAATTGTTAGCTTTTTAATTTTTTTTAGTGACTTTTTGATTAAACAGACCGCTTCCCAAACAAGGTCTAAGGTTTTATTTGATAATTTTTAATTTTAATCAAAAAAATTATTATAAAATTATCATATTACTCTCTTTATTTCTTTATGTATCTTTTTTTAAAAAGTAAAAATATTATTAAAATTATATATTTTCAAATGAGGCCTAATAGTGATAAGTGGTGGCGAGACAGATATAATTAAGAAGAAGGAAAAACTTTTTATACATTTGTAATATTTTTTTGTAATTAGAGAATTTAGTAAGGCCAAGTTTGGGAAGACTAAATAAGTGCACTTTTTGTCTTTTTGGACTAAAAAATTGAGATTGAAAATATGGATGTTTGGGTTAACTTTTTGACTTTTTATGGAAAAATGTGTAATAAAAAATTGTAAAAATTGGTTTGCAGAGGAAAATTTGAATTGGTTTTTAACACATCAGTATAAAAAAATTAAGATTTTAGAAATTAAAATTTAGAAACAAAATTATTTTTTAATGATCAAATATTTTTTTTGTGAAAAATATTGTTATTATATTTTTTGTAACAAAAATTAGACATTAGTGATAAATTAATATCATTTTAGGACCAAATTTTTTATCTCAAAAAATAATTTATTTTGAGACCAAATTATTTTATTCTTAAAAGTCTATTTATTAGTCACATTTTAAAAATTTTATTGGCAAAAGTCTTATTTTTTACTTTTCAGGACGACCTTTTAACGACTATTCTCATGATAATAGAAATATTAGTCCTTAAGTATCTTTTACAACAAAATTTTCATTTTTAGAGAATAAAAAAATTTAATTTTTAAAATTCTTATATAAACATAAATAGTATCAAGCAAGTCTTTTGAATTTGTTTTTTTTTTTAATTTCTGGAAACAATTAGCTTGAAAACAAAATTAATATAAATTTATAATTTTCGTTTCTGTTTGTAATTGCCGACCAAAAAATAGTATAATTTTATAATTTACAATAAATTTAAGATCTAAAAAATAGGAACTCTTGGTGACTGCAATCTTCGAAAGGAAAATCCACGCCGAAGGATGAAGCAGATAGGGTTTGGCAACCATCAAATCAAACAGTAGACACCTATGATTGGAACTTAATATTCACTAAAAATAAAAAATTTAATTTTTAAAAAATTGAAAGAAAATACATTGAATAGTTTTTTTTAAAAAAATAATAATGTGAATTTAAAAAGCTAAAAAAATTAAAATACCTAAGGCTCCGTTTGACAAGTTGGGTTGGGGGCTTTTTTGGCTATTTTAGCCACAAAAGACAAAATATGTTATTTTAACCACAAAAAACAAAACATCACATCTAACCCATAATCATTATACTCTTCTCTCACACAAAAAAAGTCAAAAAAGTTAAAAAGTCAAAAAATCCTTCTCAAACCAAACTTTTTAACTCAAGCTAAAATAATTAAAAAAACCAAAAAATTAAAAAACCAACCCATTTTTCAAACCAAGCCTTAACCAGTTTGCCAAAACAGGCATCCCAAAATGTCCCAAAGTTGAGCCAAGCCAAAGCCGAAACCAAAGCCAAGTTGAAACTTGAAGCATGAAAGCCAAGGCAAGGTGAGAGAGATGGGTACAAAGTGGGGCCCAACCAAGATAAGAGAAGGAGCAGACAAAGAAGAGTGGGAGTTCACGTGGGATAGAAAATGAAGGAAGCGTGGAACTATCAAAACTAACACAAGACTCCTCCCTCCTCACCCTCACGTGGACCAACACATGTCTCTTGCTCTGCTGTTCAGACACGTGTTATCACATCTCCAACGAATTTATCTGCAAATAATTATATTCAAACACTGTTTCCGAACTTGTCATCTTGTCCCTCCATTTTCCGACACCTCACTCTCTACAATCATTTGAACTTCTTCTCTCTCACATCATCACTTTCTCTCCCCTACCAACGCTTCTCATCGCGCGTCACTTCACTTCATCTATCTTGGCCCTTCATTTACATCTTACTTTCGCTTCTTTAGGACCGTATATTTCACGCTCAATGGAGGATGTGTGTTTTGCGTGTACTTTAAATCGTCTGTATCTATCTGTATCTTTTGATGCTTATCTCTGAGCCTTCCGTTTCCAGTAATGATAAATATATTTTTTTTGTTGACTAGTGTTAAAGAGTGAGTGACTCTCTATTAAATTAAAAATTATTTTTTTTAAAAAATGTAAATATTAAAAAAATATAATAAAACGTTGATTCAATTTAATAAAAAATTTCTTATGTATTTTAATACTTTTATCTTACACTCCGATTATTTTGATAGGAAATATTTATGTATTTTCTGAAATTTGATATAACAGAAAAATAAAAATCAATAAAAATATTTTTTAAGGTCAATTGAAAATAAGTATATTTGAGCAATTCTATTTTTTTTATTTTTTTATTTTAATAAGGTGAAAAATATTTTTTAACTAAAATTTTATTAATGCTACCAGTATCATCATCTTCACGACGACAACTACTATCATCACTATTATTATTACTATTATCGCCACTATCACCTCCACCCCATCACTATCACTAGCACCCTCTTATTTCCAATACTTCGACATCTACCTTCAACACCACCTTGTCGTTAACATTATCACCACTACTAATACAACTATTCATATATTAATTTCAAGAAAATAATCAAAAAATTCAACAATGTGCTTATCAAATACGTCTTTCCTAAAAACAATAGATTTACTAAATGTACATTCACAAATTTAGGGGTTGTTTGGGAAGACCTAAATAAATGTACTTTTTTATCTTTTTACGAAAAAATATACAGAAAAGTAAAGAGGTGATATGATGAAAAAAGATAAAAAGATAAATTATATTGGAGTTGTCAAACTTGACTTTAATTCAAAAAATTAAATATATATTTTTTAAAAAGTAGTAAATTTTAGAAAGAAAACACAAATTGATGGTAATAATGGGCAGTCACTGATGGCCCCCAAGCTGGTGCAAAATTACTTTTAAAGCCCTTGGGGGTGAAATGAAATAAGGGTAGTAGGGGCAGCATAGATGAGGTAATGATTAGATGTTATAATGAGGGTGGTATAGTTTAATGAAGAAGTAGGCATCATGATTAATGCAATTATATTTGGAAATTATCATTGCAATCAGATGCTCTGTCTATTTCTTTCTAATCAACCTCTTTTTTTTAATCATTATTATTATACTTTTTTTTGGGTGAATAAATTATTATTATACTTTGCTTAACTATAATCGCATGGGTGACCCAATTATGACAGGGACACCAGCGCATGCATGGTATGTTTGACAAAGCATTGCCTTTTCATAATTGCTTTACAATTTCGAAAATGAATAAAGTTGTTTGGTTTTGAAACTTCAAATAGTATCCATTTTAAAGTTTTTTTTACTTCTTTTATTTATTTTTTAGATTTTAGTTAATGTAAATGCACATTACAAAAATTTTAAAAATAATTAAAATATAAAAGAATTTACTAAAGAGTGGTTTGAATGTTCTAAATAAGGCAAAGTTTGGCATCTTTCAAAAAATTTAAAAAGTCAAAAAGTCACTATCTTATTTAAGTCACATCATCTCATTTGAGTCACATCATCTCTCTAACACATCACTTCAAACCCAACCCAAATATAATCCATATTTCATAAAAAATCAAAAAGTGCACTTATTTAGTCTTCCCAAACTTGGCCTAAATATACTTTTTGACTTTTTATTCAATATGAATTGGGTATAGATGATGTGGTAGAGAGATAATTTGACTTAAATAAGATGATGCGACTTACATAGGATAATGACTTTTTAACTTTTTAACTTTTTTAGTATCTGTCAAACAAGGCCTAAAGACCAAAAATGCAAAAAGTAAAAAATTTAAAAATAGTTATTAAAAACTGGGATTAAATTCATTTCCCCCTTTAGTTTGGGACTGAAATACTTTACCTCTTGTACTTGAATTACAACAAAAAATTCTATGTAATTTTAGATTAAAATCGTACCATTAATTTTTTGGAAAATGCTAGAGGTCCCAAATTTTCTACCAAATAAATGACTAAATGTCTCACATGGGTGTGGGGCCCACAAAATTGCGGACCCCACACCCATGTGAGACATTTGGTCATTTGTTTGGTAGAGAATTTGGTGTCCCTAGCATTACCCTAATTTTTTTCATCCAAACTAATAAAAGGTGTATTACACATGTCATTTTTTAGAATGAGTTTTGTTTTCTGAAAAATTAGAATGAAATTAATACTATAAAAGAATAATTTTGCCCCCTTTTTTCCAAACCTAAAATTAGATTAATATATTAATTAAATTAAATTAAAATATAATTAATAATTGATCTAAAATTTAAAATATAATAAGAATTGATTTAAAATATAATTAAATTAAATATAAAATAAATAACAATTGAGAATTTATCTAAAATGTAATTAAATTAAAATTAGATTAACATTTTTTTGAAATTATAATAAATAAATAATAATTTAAGATTAATTGTGATCTAAAATATAATTAATTAAAATTAGATTAAAAAAAAGTTAATAATTACAATATATAGTTAAATATTTAGGATTAATTGTGATCTAAAATATAATTAAATTAAAATTAGAATAAAAATTTAAGAATTACAATAAATACTAATTAAGAATTTATAATTAATTATGATTTAATTGAATTAATACTAGGCATTATAAATTATGTGTATGAGAGGTAAGAGAGAGAAAATAACAAAAAATATAATGTTTGAAGACATTATAGTTATTTCACATATATAGTTAACGGTTACATTTCAGTCCAAAAGCACATGGGGGACATATGTCTATTTTTAAAAGGCATGGAGGTAAAGTGTTATCAAAACATACCATATGGAGGCAAAATGAATTTGGCCTAAAAACTAAACTAAACTGAGCGAATAATATTAGAATGATGATATTTTATATCACATATAGAGACAATTCAACCTTATTTAATTCTAAAACAAAAAATTTAAATGAGGAGACCTTTTATAAATTTTTACACTATAATTCTTTATTTAAAATTTATTTTTTTTCATTTTTTAAGATGAAAATTTGTTAATTAAATTATTATATTCAAGTTTTGCTAACATATCATATAAAAAAGTACATTTTTTTTTTAAATTTTTGGAATGGATCATTGCTAATGCATCATACCCACAAAATCATATGTTGCTATCATTTTTTAGATTTTCTAACTTATTATTATCTAATGTTTCACTTCTTGGTGTGGCCTTTTTTATTTTGACCGAAAGATAGATATAATGATAAGGACTTTTATTTTCACCAAGAGAAATGAATACTAGTGAGGGCTTTTTCTTTGTATAATAACAAACAATTTAATTTCTTTGTACTGATGAACAATTGGTTTTAGGAAAGTACTTACTTTTCTTTTCTTTTTTTTCGTCCTTTTGTTTTGATAGAGGATGGAACAAAACGATAACGGATAAGTTTTATAAGAATACTTTTTTATGCAATACAATTTAACGAGAAATCTTTTTGCCTAATTTTATTTTTATTAAATTTTTTTAACCATTTTTATTTATTTATATGTGATATATACACGGTCTAATAATAATAATAATAATAATAAGACCTTCTGTTATACGAGACATTGAACAAGTACCAAAATTGCTTAGTAATTAAGCCACTATTTATTATATGAGTTGTGACCATTGTATCGAAAATAAATATAAGTGACGTGATCTATTAAACTAATGTAATGATAACAATTCATAGATATATAACACATCAAATTAAATTTGATTTAAAAATATGATTTATTTAAAATTCTCATATCTTAATCTTAGAAGAAGGGGTAAAGCCTTTAATATGCGTCAAATAGTAGGCGTTAGTGATCTACATTTCGATGTCATATTTTATATGAAAAATTATGTTGTTATTTTTCAAATTAAAAATTAAAATTGATGGCTATTTATTAACTGGAAGAACTTGAAATCTTCATCGAGAAGAATATATATATATATATATATAATAAACCAAATCCAAATCCAATTCCTTTTCCCAATCGGAAAATCTAATTCCCCTCTTTGGAAAATCGAATTTTCGCAGACAAACCTTGATCGATCATCGTTTCCAAATCTCCCAATTCTGACTCTGTATCTCCTAATCATCTCTGCCTAGGGATTTTTTCATTTCACATCAGATTGGTCACTTAGACTCAAAGTTTTGAGGAGCCTCATCACTTGGTAATCGCTTTTTTCTTTCTTCTCAATTGCTTTGATTTTTCTCAAATTTGGTTCGATTTGGATTGTGGGATATGGGTTTTGTTTGTGAATTGTATATGGTTTTTACGATCCGTATTATAAATTTTACTATTTATTTTGTTTTTATTATAGATTTTGTTGTTCGTTCCTGTTTTATATTCTTATGTTTGATATACTTCTTATTGGTCCACTTGTTATGAGTAGTGCTTCAGATTTTTCCACCTAGATGAATAATGTTGGGTTAGTACATCAACTAAACTTCTTCAACATGTATTATTGTTCACACACATAGTTGTGAAATTGAAAATTGCATCATGAATTGAAATCCTAATTTGGTGAATCGTAAATCAAATTGAATCGAGAATGGTTAAGATTAAGTGCAAAATATAGAAAATGATGTAACCAATCGTATGTATATATAATAACATTATAAAATTGGACACATCTTATTAATGAAGCTAGCTTAAAGATAGTTCTCAAGTTTGGGTTGTCTGCTGAGTGAACAAACCAACTTATGAGCTGACCAAAAGCATTTGTTCGGTTAATTTGCAGCCTTAGTTGAAAGTAGTCCAAAATATGGACTTTGGTGAAATCTGTTCTGACACAAAATCTCATACCACCCCAAAAGCCACGAAATGTTTGGATGCACCATTAAATTCTTGAATTACTGCTGTGTTATCAAATTTTTATATGGTAATTCTAATTCATATTGAATAAATTTTGTTGTTATTTGTTTGTAATGCAGTTTTACTGTAGAGGCTAATGGGCCTATAAAGGATATGACATTAATTACAGATTATACTGGTGATGTGGATTACATTACAAATCGGGAACATGACGATTGTGATAGTATGATGACCCTTCTTCTAGCAAAGGACCTATCTAACAACCTTCTTATCTGTCCTGATAAACGTGGAAACATTGCTCGCTTTATTAATGGCATTAACAATCATACTCCGTAAGCTTGTGTATCCTCTCTCATGCTGTCTAGATTCTAGACTCAAAAAATGCTTCCCTGCTTTTATTTTGATGCTGACTTTATCCATTTCATCGACTCTGATGTCTGTACTCCATTTCTTCCAGTGAAGCCACATAACAAAATTCTTTGTTTTTATCGACATCAAAATAAATTTAAAAATTGAGAATATTAAACGTGTTGTTCTTGAAACCTGTCCAATTTTGTGCAGGAAGGGTAGGAAGAAGCAGAATCTTAAATGCGTGAGGTACAGTGTAAATGGTGAATGTCAGGTCCTTTTGGTTGCTACTTGTGATATTGCCAAGGGGGAGAGGCTATATTATGATTATAATGGATATGAGCATGAATACCCAACCCATCATTTTGTCTAAGATCCACATAGATATTCGTCTAACGAGTTTGCGTAATTGTCATGCAATTCCAGATTCTGATAGATCCTTCTGATGTATACACATTTTTTTTCTTTTGTTTTTTCTTTTTTTTCTTTTTTGTCGCAGCTTACACATTTTTGTTGCAGAGTGTCCACATTTTTTCCCAATTTTCTAATTGTATCCTCAGCCCATCAATTGTAATTTATCATGTAGTGCTGGTGTAGACACCCCATTTTTGACCGCCCTTAAGACTTGGGCGTTACTGATGGTTTACTTGGTGGAGACAGGTGTGCAGGGGAAATGTTCAGTTTCTTTGGCAAGGAGAGAGGCAAATCCTTCAAAACACTTTGTTTAAGAGTTTGGAGTTGAAGAAGAGAGGAAAGGAGAGGAGAAAACTAATTTGGGAGAAGTTCGGCATGAATCCGGGTAGAAGCGAGTCGAGCAGCCCTCGCTGAATCGGGCTTATCTGTCTGTACGCTTGGAGTTTAGCTATGGGGCCACCACCGTCGGAAAGCTTACTTCCGGGGCTTCATTTTGCACTCAAGAATCTCCTAGAACCAAGTCCGGGTGGGGGAGATATGATCAGTTGAAGTCGGGCATCATCCCGGTTGGATCGAATCTGCGCGGCTTCACGAAAAAGGGCATAACTTTTTGCACAGAACGAATTTTAATGCAAGGTTTGCGTCATTGGAAAGCTAACTTCCGGGGCTTCAATTTGAACACCCACCGGCCGTTTTTTGACCTTGGCAGCATCTATCGGCAATCTATTTATCCGGCCGGCAATTTATTGTGCCGACCGGCACTTTATTGTGCTGACCGGAAAATTTTGCTGGCCGACGACCTTCCGGAGCATTCTGCAGATTGAGTGTATGCCAGTTGTGCCAGCTGGAGGGCACAAAATGGATCCTCCATACACGTGTATGGAGGATATGCACCCTTGTTTAGCTTCCTCAAGAAGCTTTACACTTTGTTTTGCCTATATAGGAAGCTCTCCTCTTCCTTATACTAGGTTAGAAAAAAACCAGCTGGAGCATTTTACATACAACCCTAGATCTATACATTCAACCCCCTCTTCCAAGCTCAAAAGTCCATTATCCTTGGCCATTTACACACCAAGCCATAGCACAACACCACCACTTCCATTTCCAGCAGCTGGAGGCTGTTCTTCAAAGCCTAAGGAGCCACAAACTCAAGCCAAGAAGCCATCAAAGTTTGGTCTTCAAGGGTGAGTAGCATTTCCTCTCTTTTGAGCTTTTTCTTGTATCATTTCTTAGCCATACATGCTTGTATATTTGAGCTCCGACCAACACTGAAAAGGTCATTTTTTTGAGCTCATTTTCATGTCTCATTAAGGGCTCAACCCTGTTTGAGCCCTCCATATTGCACTTGCTTCAATATCCTCCTTGAATGCCATTTTCTTGCATGCTTTGGCAGCCCATTATGCTTCCATTTTTGGACGATTTACAGTTCTAGAAGTAGTCTTATTTTGACCTTATTAACATGTTTTATTAAGGATCTTTGGCTGTTTGGTGAGTATTTTGCATACTTTGTGTTATAGCCTTTTTTTGAGCCTCATTTTGCATTGCATTTCTAGCATGTTTTTACACTGTTTTGGACGATTTACAGTTCTGTAAATATGCTTAATTTTGGTCCCTCTTCAATGTTGTAGAAGGGAATTTTTCAGTTTGGGCATTGCATATACCACTTGCCTCTTTGGCCACCTTTTGATCCATTTTCTTGCATAAGAACTTAGCCTTATCTATGTTTGTTTTTGAGGTTTTTACAGTTCTGTGAAAGTGCTTATTTTTGGTCCCTCTTCAATGTTGTTGAAGGGTCCTAACCCATTTGGAGTTAGCAGCTGTGAGTTGCTTCACAACCTCATGTTTAGGGCCATTTTTGCATGCCATTGTTGCCCTATCTTTGTTTGCTGTTTGGCCATGATTTATACTGGTAAAATGCTTATTTTGAGGCTGCCTTGCTTCTGTCTTTTCATTCCATGTACCAATTATGCATGTTTGGTATAGCTATAGGCCATTTCGGGTGCCAAAATTCATGCTTCGGGACTATTCCTTGCATCGGGTGTGTTTTCGTCTCATTTCGGGGCTGTTTTCCCCACAATTTTGCTGCTGAAATCCCATTGGCATGTTTGCATATCATTTCCATGCCATTGCATTGCATTTGCCATTGCCTCGGTTTGCGTGCCCGTGTGCACGCATTTCGAGGCACTCCATTTCATTCACCGGCATCTTATGTGAGTGTGGCTGAGGCTCTCTCATGTTAGTATAAGCCCATATCACATTTTCATGTCATTTTCATTGCGTATGCCATTGCCTCGGTTTGCGTGCCCGTGTGCACGCATTTCGAGGCACTCCATTTCATTCACCGGCATCTTATGTGAGTGTGGCTGAGGCTCTCTCATGTTAGTATAAGCCCATATCACATTTTCATGTCATTTTCATTGCGTATGCCATTGCCTCGGTTTGCGTGCCCGTGTGCACGCATTTCGAGGCACTCCATTTCATTCACCGGCATCTTATGTGAGTGTGGCTGAGGCTCTCTCATGTTAGTATAAGCCCATATCACATTTTCATGTCATTTTCATTGCGTATGCCATTGCCTCGGTTTGCGTGCCCGTGTGCACGCATTTCGAGGCACTCCATTTCATTCACCGGCATCTTATGTGAGTGTGGCTGAGGCTCTCTCATGTTAGTATAAGCCCATATCACATTTTCATGTCATTTTCATTGCGTATGCCATTGCCTCGGTTTGCGTGCCCGTGTGCACGCATTTCGAGGCACTCCATTTCATTCACCGGCATCTTATGTGAGTGTGGCTGTTCCTGTTTTATATTCTTATGTTTGATGTATTTCTTTTTGGTTCACTTGTTATGAGTAGTGCTTCAGATTTTTCCACCTAGATGAATAATGTTGAGTTAGTACATCAACTAAACTTCTTCAACATGTATTATTGTTCACACACATAGTTGTGAAATTGAAAATTGTATCATGAATTGAAATCCTAATTTGGTGAATCGTAAATTGAATTGAATCAAGAATGGTTAAGATTAAGTGCAAAATATAGAAAATGATGTAACCAATCGTATGTATATATAATAACATTATAAAATTGGACACATGTTATTAATGAAGCTAGCTTAAAGATAGTTCTCAAGTTTGGGTTGTCTGCTGAGTGAACAAACCAACTTATGAGCTGACCAAAAGCATTTGTTCGGTTAATTTGCAGCCTTAGTTGAAAGTAGTCCAAAATATGGACTTTGGTGAAATCTGTTCTGACACAAAATCTCATACCACCCCAAAAGCCATGAAATGTTTGGATGCACCATTAAATTCTTGAACTATTGCTGTGTTATCAAATTTTTATATGGTAATTCTAATTCATATTGAATAAATTTTGTTGTTATTTGTTTGTAATGCAGTTTTACTGTAGAGGCTGATGGGCCTATAAAGGATATGACATTAATCACAAATTATACTGGTGATGTGGATTACATTACAAATCGGGAACATGATGATTGTGATAGTATGATGACCCTTCTTCTAGCAAAGGACTCATCTAACAGCCTTCTTATCTGTCCTGATAAACGTGGAAACATTGCTCGCTTTATTAATGGCATTAACAATCATACTCCGTAAGCTTGTGTATCCTCTCTCATGCTGTCTAGATTCTAGACTCAAAAAATGCTTCCCTGCTTTTATTTTGATGGTGACTTTATCCATTTCATCGACTCTGATGTCTGTACTCCATTTCTTCCAGTGAAGCCACATAACAAAATTCTTTGTTTTTATCGACATCAAAATAAATTTAAAAATTGAGAATATTAAACCTGTTGTTCTTGAAACCTGTCCAATTTTGTGCAGGGAGGGTAGGAAGAAGCAGAATCTTAAATGCGTGAGGTACAGTGTAAATGGTGAATGTCAGGTCCTTTTGGTTGCTACTCGTGATATTGCCAAGGGGGAGAGGCTATATTATGACTATAATGGATATGAGCATGAATACCCAACCCATCTTTTTGTCTAAGATCCACATAGATATTCGTCTAACGAGCTTGCGTAACTGTCATGCAATTCCAGATTCTGATAGATCCTTCTGATGTATACACATTTTTTTTCTTTTGTTTTTTTTTCTTTTTTGTCGCAGCTTACACATTTTTGTTGCAGAGTGTCCACATTTTTTCCCAGTTTTCTAATTGTATCCTCAGCCCATCAATTGTAATTTATCATGTAGTGCTAGCCAAGTATGTGCTGTGAGAGAAATAGTGCAGGCGAGGGAACTTTCTTTGGAATTTAACATATGAAGGGTTTTAAATAATTACAAATTTGAGTTACATGGCATTGTCTTTATGTACTACAGTTTCAATGAAATGCATTACTTTTATCTATGGTTTCCTTTAAGTAGGTCCGAAGATTACTATAATGGACTATTGGAGGGCTTTTCCTCCATCATTTGTTTCTCTTTCCTTATCTTTATTTGAGTTAGATGATAGTATCTTTATGTGCTAAAGGTTTCAATGGAAGACACTACTTTTATTAAATGGCTGCCTTAATGTAGATCCTAAGATAAACTCTGATAGACTGTTGTGTGTTATTATTATTAATTTTTTCTCCCACTAAAACATATTTCTCTATCTGTTGTTTCTGTTTTGGTTTCTCCTCTCTATAAAGATTTCATCATTATTTTCTTAAAATGCTAACCGTTCTCAAGAAAGCTCGAAGACAGGAAAATAAAGTAAAATACAAATAAATTCTTTTTGGCTGCCTATTGAACGATTGAAAGTAGTTTGAATTGAAAATGTAAGAGTTGAAGCTTCACTTAAATGTTTGACAGACTCTGTTTTAACATGAAACATGTTTGGGTTCATATTCATGAAGGAGAGATTGATGCTCAATACACTACAGTTCAACATGTCAATTTCAGCCCCATGTGTCTTCTTGATCAGATACCTTAAGGCTGCTCAATTTGATAGGAAAGTAAGCAGATAATCTCAATTTTGGTCCATATGTTGTGTTATTTAGTTTTTATTTTTTCATATCATAGTCAGCCTAAATGAGAAATTGTAATTCTAATGTGCACCTTGCAACAACTTGGGCTCCTATCGATCTTCTTGATCGACCTATGCCTCATGGAGTATGAGATACTCAAATTCCCACCATCTTTCTTGGCTGCCACAACAATCTACACTGCTAAATGTACCATTTCTGGGTTTAAGCAATGGAGCAAGACCTGTGAGTGGCATACTAGCTATTACTCAGAAGATCAGCTCCTAAATGTTCGCTGCCATGTTCAATTGTGAACATGCATTGAACTGTACTTGTGTTTCATTTGATAGTATTTTTAAGATAATAAATATTTTATCTGTTCTCTCTTTTACTCATGTGATAATAAAACATCATCCGCCACTTATGAGAGTTGTGTTGGAGCCAGGAAAGAATTGTAGCAAAACAAAACTAGTCCGAATTGATTAAACCTTGAATACTGTGTTTGATTTAAAATCACTACCATATATGAGTTCTAATATTGTGCAGCAGATATGAGGATCAATTTTGAGTGCTTAATGTTATATATATATATATATTTTGGCGATGGTAACAAGATAGTCGCCAAAAAATATGTTAGCATTTTTCTTTATTTTTTGCGACGGCAAAATAGCTATCGCCATAAGTAGTTTAGATAGTCTCAAATAATTTGCAACCGTTACTTTGCCGTCACAAAAAGTCTTTTGCGACTATTTTTTCATTATTTGCGACCGCTTGTAGCGGTCGCAAAAAGTGTTTTTTTTAGTAGTGAGCCATGGGAAATTAATTAAGTGCATGTCGAGGGAAATCAAAGCCACATAATCAAACCACCAAATCCGTAAAGCAACAACAAATGACCACAAGTCTTGCAAGATAATTGAAATCAAAGTCACATAATCAAACCACCAAATCAATATTACCCTTAATTTTTTGTCAAATTTCCTTGTCTATGACATCACTGCCACATCCTTTATAACTTTGTCTCTCTAGTTTTTTTTTTTTCTTGTCCCATGGTCTGTCTTATAACATTCCTCTCCCTCCTCTCCTATAACACCTACACAGCTATTGCCCCGAAGAATTAATTTATTTATAGTGATTTTTTTCAATACTAATTTAAGTCCTCTATTGTTAATTGTTGATAATTGCCTTCTTATCCCTTGTTCCTAACATGAAGTTTGCTTTTCTTCCTGCAATCTTTTGTTATCAAATTTGTTATCCATGTTGCTTATCATCAAGGATCACTTCAACTCTTTGAAGTTTTGGATTGTTATATGCATTTCTACTAAATTGGTTTATAAAATAAATTATTTAAATATGAGTTTAGATGTAATTGCTAATATATTAATGTTTTCCTTATTTATTTTCTTTGCAAATTAGTTTTTGATGACATTTGGAAGCATACTTGCAAATCAAGATTAAGTGTTGAATTTTTTTTTTCCTGAACTGATATTTAGTTCTAGTTGTAAATCAAGATCTAGAGTTGATTTTTTGTGCGGACTCCACGTTAGTTCAATTTAGGATTTGCTATGATAGTTTTTTTTTTGTTATAAATGGATTATTATTAAATTTATTTCATGGATATATTTTGATTTATAATATAAATTGTTTAGTGAATTTGTTGTGTGGACTGCGTATAATAGCTGGTGGATTTTTTAGTACATTTAAAAGGCAATTGGGATATGAGCAAGAATATTTGTGAAATAATTTGTACTTGTTATTATGACAAAGTGATTATTCGTCGCTAATAAATATTTTTTGTGACAAAATTTATTGCAGCTTATATATGAAAGTTTTTATTGATTTTGTTGTTTGGTGACTAAACATTTCGTCATGTATACATATTTTTGCCACGAAATATATTTTGTCACTCATGTCTGACTTGTGGAGACAAAAAATTTCGTCAGCTTTACATCTTACTGTGACGAAATTATTTCTTCATCAATGATCAACATGTGTGACAAATTTATTCGTCAACTAAAGTTATAAATGTGGTACTGAACAACTATTTGGTGACGAAAATGAGGACTTTTGGTGACAAAATATTGTTTTATTGGTGACAAAAAGTTTCGTCACTAAAGTAATTTCATTGGTGACGAAATTATTTTTCGTCACGATACTTTTTAGTGACAAACATTCAATGACGAACCTGGTGACAAAAATATTTCCTCACAAATATCTATAGTGACGAAATTAGCTCTTCGGAGACAAAAAAAATTCGTCATCCAAGACCCAACTTCTTGTAGTGTTAACGGTTGCATTTCAGTTCAAAAGCACATGGGGGACATATGTCTATTTTTAAAAGGCATGGAGGTAAAGTGTTATCAAAACATACCATATGGAGGCAAAATGAATTTGCCCTAAAAACTAAACTAAACTGAGCGAATAATATTAGAATGATGATATTTTATATCACATATAGAGACAATTCAACCTTATTTAATTCTAAAACAAAAAATTTAAATGAGGAGACCTTTTATAAATTTTTACACTATAATTCTTTATTTAAAATTTATTTTTTTTCATTTTTTAAGATGAAAATTTGTTAATTAAATTATTATATTCAAGTTTTGCTAACATATCATATAAAAAAGTACATTTTTTTTTTAAATTTTTGGAATGGATCATTGCTAATGCATCATACCCACAAAATCATATGTTGCTATCATTTTTTAGATTTTCTAACTTATTATTATCTAATGTTTCACTTCTTGGTGTGGCCTTTTTTATTTTGACCGAAAGATAGATATAATGATAAGGACTTTTATTTTCACCAAGAGAAATGAATACTAGTGAGGGCTTTTTCTTTGTATAATAACAAACAATTTAATTTCTTTGTACTGATGAACAATTGGTTTTAGGAAAGTACTTACTTTTCTTTTCTTTTTTTTCGTCCTTTTGTTTTGATAGAGGATGGAACAAAACGATAACGGATAAGTTTTATAAGAATACTGTTTTATGCAATACAATTTAACGGGAAATCTTATTGCCTAATTTTATTTTTATTAAATTATCTTAACCATTTTTATTTATTTATATGTGATATATACACGGTCTAATAATAATAATAATAATAATAAGACCTTCTGTTATACGAGACATTGAACAAGTACCAAAATTGCTTAGTA